GGTGAGCGCCGCGACGGGTCTCCCCGAACATCCCCGGGGTCGGCGTTTCCACGGGGCTCCTGTCCCCGGGAGCTGAGGGCTTGCCCCTCGCGGTTGAGTGGGGTCAGTGCTCCGCCGGGATGAGGGCTTCCCCGCTGTGCCCCGCAGGGATCAGGGGGCACTGCTCTGTGGCTGTGTGGGGCCTGCGCTCCCTGGGGCTGAGGGCTCTGCTAGGGCCAGGCCTCATCCCCAGGGAGGCTGAGGGCTCCGCTGCTCTGCTGAGCAGAGCTCAGGAGGCTCCAAAAGCATTGGGTGAAAGGAGCATTAGACGTGTCTGCTGAGAAATTGCTTATTAGATCATTGCGTTGTCTTTCGTTGTATTATGTCATTTGTCTTGGTGTCCGTTTAAGACAGTTTGGCCCAGCACCTTTAGTGCCCTTGACTTACCCTATTGGAGCTGATGACGTGTTCGATCAAAATCTTGTGTTCTTACCAGCAATTCTTCTAATAGCAGCAGCCATTCAAAGCACAGGGAATAGGTGCTACTTCACATTCATATCCTTGTTGAACTTACTGGGCAGAAAGAACGCAGCTCTTTTTCTTTCCTGTTAACATCGTACTCTTTCCGCTGCTACGTCAGGATCGTTGATTCAATGGTGTATGTGTTAGCTACCTTTCAGCCACACTAACTTACAGTTTCTCTTCCGGTAGCAATTGTTTGTTTCGGGCCCTTGGTGACCAGCTTGAGGGGCACTCGCGGAACCACCTCAGACATCGCCAGGAAACGGTGGATTACATGATAAAGCAGCGGGAGGATTTTGAGCCTTTTGTGGAGGATGATGTGCCCTTTGAGAAACACGGTATGGTCTCCATAGGACACTAATGGAAAGGGTTATTGTGTAATGTGATTACGTCTCATTTGAGCACCTTCTTACTAAACAGTTCCTCATCCAAAACTATGTTAGGGCTCCTCTCTTGTTTTTATAAACAGTGAGTTTACATTTCTCTCTGTTACAAGATGAGCTATTAGCTTGTATTATGTTTGCCTTGGAAATTGTTTAAATTTAGGGGAAACTTGGGGAAGGATAGAGAGGCAAAAAAAGGCAAGGAGTAAAAATTCCTTTCAAAAGGAACTTGCAAAAATTGTCTAGCTGTCCTTGAATACTGATGGGTGTTGAGTGGCCGATTTCTCTGGGTTTCTTTTTCCTCCTTGACACTTGATATTTTGTAGAGGTAACCCAGGGGAAGATCCAAAGCAGAGACGAATACAGCCTTTGTTCTAACAGCTTTGCGGATGTGCCAAATACCATGCAGGTGATGCATGAAAGCGGTTTTGTCATTTAGTGTGTGGCACTCTTCTTTCTGAGCTAACACAGAGCTGACAGCCTTCCATAATCTGCGGGTGTACTGTGTTTTTTAGAGGTTTAGTGGTCATTTAAGACACATTAAGTTCTGTTGCTGCCAAATTCTCTCCTCAGCAGTCACTGTTTCCAGTTGGGATTTCCTTTCCAGCATTTCTTGGGCTTGTGTTGAAATTTTGTTACTTGCTTTCCCTCCAGTGCTTTTGGAAGTGTCAGAAACTAGGTTTCCAACTCTTCTGAATGTTTTCTCCTTTAGTTACCAATCTGGCAAAGCCTGGTACCTTTGCTGGCAACGATGCTATTGTGGCCTTTGCACGGAACAATCAAATGAATGTGGTTATTCATCAGCTTAATGCTCCGCTGTGGCAGGTGAGAAACAAAACTTATATATTTTGGCCTAAGTTTTAGCTGATGAATACAAATAGTGTTGAAATTTCCTGATCTATTAAAAGAGAGCAGTCGGTACCTGTAGTTAGCTGGCTGTGCTTGTAGAGCTGTGCTTGCTTTTTCAGCCTTGAAGGAAAACACTCCAGATTTCAGCTAGGAGGAGAGGGAATGAAAGAAAACAATGAATGCCTGAAAGATAAGTATGTGGAGATGGAGCAGCATGTTTTAGTTTGCTTTTAAGCTAGTAGCTGCATTGGTATGTTTCTCTCTCCTGAAGATCAGACTACATATGAGGTGATTTTTCTGATAGGAATTTGAGCCAGGCTTAAGGAAACTTGTGTGATAAGGTTCAGGAATATGGACGTGAAGGTATAGTAGGTCAGTCCCTGCAGTGTGTTGGAATGAAGTTGCATCAATTCTGCATGGGATTTGTAGTGAGAAGGTTTCTGACAGTTGGAGAAATGAGGTTCTAGACTGGGCAGAAGAGGGAAGAAGTTTTAAAACCCTAAGGCGGCGTCTCATCGGCTTCTGGAAAGGACTGTGTGTGTGTGGTTTACTGTGACAGCGGGGCACTGGAAGAAGTAATCCATCATGTCCCTCTTACTCTCTTTTTTTGTTGTTTTTCTGTGGCAAGTCCGCACTGGAATGGGTCCGCGCTCCATCTCTGCCTGTTTATTGAGCAAGTGAGAACCTGTATTCAAGTCAGGATTGGTTTTGGCCCCAATTTACAGACAGAGCCAATGAAGTATATGGATTAAACAGGGCAATAACGATAAAAGAGCAGATGAAAGCTGTCAGTGGTGTCTTAAATACATTTGAAACAGTGTCAGGTGGATTCCTGAACCCAAACAGGTTTAAACTCTTATTTATGCGGCAGCCATGGGCAGTAAGACAGCTAACCGAAATACTCAACTGCTTGACCTGCCAGAGTGTACAGAGGTAGTGATCCTGCAGGAGAGTTCGTGGGGGTGCTATTCGTGTTCTGTTACTGTTTTGAACTCACCTTAGTGTACTTAACTCTTACCGATATTTTGTATATCCTCTTGAAAACCCTCAACTCTTTTTCTCCATTCATTGACATTTCCAGGGCTGTAAGTACAGGGTTTGTGATGAGATTCTGTTTTGCCTGAGCGTATTCTTTTTAGTGAAGGGTTCTCTCAGGCTCTTGAGAATGGCGTAAGTAAAGAGAGCTGTTAATAGTTGTAACATAAGGAGTCTCCTACCCGCACAGAGGATACATCAGGACATCAAAGTGTGTAGGGCATTGCAACGTGGTGACAATGTTAGCAAGTTGCTAGACTCGACTAACCCAAGATACGCTTTTTTTCTTATTTCTCTGTACTTTGACATACTTTTTTTCACCCCTCTCTCTGCTTTAGAGTCCCAGTAAAGTTTTAGAAAGATTAGATTCCAAAGAGAGCATTTCCAGAGAGGCAGATCAGCAAGATGCTTAAAGCAGATGGTCTGAATATTTCCTTTGGTCCCAACTCTGAAGCAAGTGGTGAGTTATCCTTTAATTTTAAGGGAACCGTTTGTATCCACTACAGTGAAGCTGGAAAAATGTGAGCAGAAGTCTTCAGGACCTCCAGCTGTTTCTCAAGCTCTGGCCTAATCAAAAGCTCTTTGGAGATGGGCATCTCTGCATGGACTTTTTAGGGCTTTAAACCCTTTACCTTTTTTGATAGTGACTGTAAATGTAGAGCTTCAAGTTAGCTCAGATGTATAGGTTATTTTATTGGCTTTTTGGATAACTGCTTACCTTTTTTTCAGTGTCTTTGCCTCTTTTTATCTGCAGCTATCTTTTACTTACAGTTGCAGTGTGTTGTGGAAAGAGCACGCAAAAAGAGACTTCACTACGGAGAGCTAAATTGGCTAATCTTCAGATTAATCTTTCAAGAGCTTTGGGATTCGTTAGATACCTATTTAGACTCTGGCTGAAAATAAATCTTGCTTAGATCCAACATACTGAATAGCTTAATGGGATAAAAGGCAGTAGTTAAGTATAACCAAGTGTTGAGTTGGAACTTAAAGGTGAGCAAGTGTAAAATAGATGAATGGAGAATATCTGTTGTGAAATCTGAAGTCATTAGTGCAACGCAAACTGCAGACATGATGAAAAGGTGACTTGGTGTGTATTCTGTAAGTTGGGATAAGCTGATTCAAAGACATAAAAGGATTGGGAAATTCAGGAGCCCTAAAGCAAGCATTTCTTGTCGTTTGATTACTGACATCTTCTCCAGGAAAGCTGTCAGATGTTCAGATCTTTGAACTCTGGCATGACAGGTAAGCAAAGGAGATCTGCAAATGCAGTGTGATTTTTCTGCATTCCTTGCAAGAGTTGGAATGCTGTGTAGCTTTTAGCTAATAGTTTGAGACACTGATGATCGGGGTAGAAATTATTCTTGCATCAGTACAGATAATACACAGAGCAGGAATTTTCTGTGGAAACTGCTGTACTTGGTACTGACAAAGCAAAAGAACATTTGGTTGTTAACAGTGCTCCTGAATGGAGTTAATACATTTTCACGATTTGGCTTTCTTTCTGTTAGTCTTTCTTTTAAAACCAAAACATCCACTTCGAATGTAACTGTTAAAACAGCATCTTGTCCCAACTGCAGAACAAGACTTACTCTGGGTGACTGTTTCCACTGTGGTCATAACTTGGACGGACTCTTTTTTTCCTCATGTTTGAGGGGGAAGAAGGCATTGTACACTCAATGGGAGCTGTCACTGAAATTGGGTCTGGGAAGATCATCAGAAAACGAATAGCTCCTGTGGAAAGTTTGGAAAATAGTTTTGAGCTTTCCACTGAAATATTTTCGTACTATGTTTTTTTTGTTATGTAACTGCCCCAACATTGTGTATCTGGTTTTGAAACATTATCCTTGAGACAGAAGGTCTGTTGTTAGTGTAGGAATATCTGGATTATTAGGTCAACTCTTCCTGATAAAGATGCTTCAGTAGCTGCATACTTTACTTCCGATCACAGTGTTTATCATTGCTTCAAAAAAATAATACTTTGAGAAATATGATGCTGAATTTGATTCCAAATCCTCATTTGCAATTTGTTTCATTCAGATTCGGGGCACAGACAAAAACAATGTGAGGGAACTTCATATTGCGTATCGTTATGGAGAGCACTACGACAGTGTGAGGAGAATCAATGACGATTCTGAAGCTCCAGCGTATCTTCAGATGGAGGTTGGTTACGGCAGGATGATGACCTGCGTCAGCTGAGGATGGCAAATAAAACAGATGAATGTTACCAGTTGATTTCCTTTCTCATATGCATTGAGGCTGAGAGAAGAGTTTGGTCCCTGTGTCATGCTGGGGATAGAAAAGCCCCTAAGGTCATTGTAACTGGTGCTGCCTGCTCTCCTGAGGCAGGCTGTGAAGTGTTTAAATTACAGGGCTGGAAATCCATCCCGAATGTGGTGCTGTGATGTGGGCTGTAGCAGTCTTGAAGCAACCCCGTCTAAATTACATACTCATGCACCTCGAATGCAAAAACAAAGGGAAGGGAGGAAAGAGATGGAAATGGAACAGCTGGATACAATAGTCCTCTTCATTTTTTGTGTTAAGGATTAAGCTGTGCTGTCCTTGAAGTTCTCTGCACACAACTGTATAATGTGTGGCATTGTAAAAAAATGCATACCTCACTTCAAAAGCCAGTGATTGTTTATTGGTATGCATGATCTTGTAGCATGTGAGAGTTTGCTCAGTAGTGTATGAGTTGTGGGAAATGGTGTCAATGATGATGGAAGTTACACAATTTCCAAGATGCTTTGACACAGGACATTTCTGAGAAAAGTGTACCATAATAACTAAATTTATGAGTATGTCAGTTGTTGTTTTTTACTGCATATAGTGAAATTGCTGCATGCTTGTGTGATGTGCGGGGGCTTTACTTTTCTTGCAGATGCTTTGCAAAGATGATTCAAAGAAGGAGGAGGAACTGAAGCCACAGAAGGGTGACTCCGAAGATGAGAATGAAGTTGAAATGGAAGATGCTATACAAAAAGTGTGCAATGCAACTGGATGTTCAGTAAGTATTGAGGAGCCTTTTTGTGCTGAATGTTCAAACCTTCTTGATACATGAAAGTAGCCTTGGGAAAAACTCTAAAAAGTCCTCATCTTGGACAGTTTCAGTACCACAGTCATAAATCAGGATGCATTTCATCCTAGACTCAACCCTTAAATGCAGATGAAATACATACTCGTGTGTGGATACCTAATAATTTTGGAAGGTTTGTCTTGCAATCTCTCAGAAAATTAACTTTGAAACAAATTCTGTAAGATTTGAAATCCTTTGAGGATGTCTGTAGTTGAACGTCCCAAATGACTAAATAATCCGTGGATCTTAGCTGTTGTCACTGGGTAGCCTGTGTGGTTCCTGCAGATTGCTGCTTGCACTTTGCACATGCATAGAACGGAAAGGGCCAAGAGCAAAACAGTTATGCTGAAACAGCAGATTCCTTTTTCCTGGTATCCCCAGGGTTTTAAGGTTTTTCTCCCTCACCTTTTTCAGAAATAGAATACAGGCTAATTGAAAGGTCATAAAAGCAGACAGCAACCCCCTCTCAGTGGTGCAGATGGCTGTTAAAAGAATGAATGTCAGTGATTTGAACTCTCTTCAGTGTTCTCCTTCTCCTCTTGTGGACAGGACATGGATTTAGTAAGCCAGATTCTGGAAGTGGAAGGCTACAATATCGAATCTGCAATATTTGCCATCTTTCAAGTGAATGAAGTGGAAAGAATGAGTAAGTACACCTGGTGCCTCAGAAGAACGCTGTCTGACGTTAGTGTTCGCTGTGAACAGCAGTTCAACAGGGAGAGTGGCAGTTGAAGCTTGCTGTTGGCTGTGCTGCTGCCTCAGCTTTTCTGTGCTCGGGAAGGTTATTAGTGAGGGCAGATTCAATCCAGCTTCCAAAAAAACTCCACTGTTCCAGAAATTCTGGAAGAAGGAACTGGCCAACAGTGAGACAGCTTCTGGGTAGAGTGTGTCTGAGAAAAACCTCTGTTGTTGGTAGGTACTGAGGAGCGGCACGATCCCCAGAGCAAGGATCAGAAATCATGTAGCAGAACTCTGTGGGATGAAAACAGAAATGGTTCAACAATCTCTGGAAATCGGAGCTTGCATCAAGGTGAAATAGAAAACAACAAAGGGCAGGCTAGACCTGGTGAAGAGAATCGAGCTAGCAGAAACCCGAAGGTATGTGAAGGGTGGTTTGGCAGTGATATACACATCCTTTAACGATTAGAGGAGTGCTTAGGATTGCTTAATCAGCAACTGTCTTCTCCTTTGAATTAGAAAGAGTTTCCGCTTACCGGATTTTGTTGCTGCTGCAGCTGTGACTTCTCTGATATAAACATTTAATAGTGACATGCGGCACTCTTCCCAAAATGACCTGAAATAAAGTCCTGATAAATATTTTGGAATAAACATTCTCTGGCAGCTGCTTTGATATCTGCTTGTCTCCTTTCCAGTGTATTATTTTTCCCCAAGTCAGCAGAAAACGTGTGTTTTCAACTTTGTGTTTTCATCTTTCCCTTTCAGGTATCTAAAAAACAAAAGAAGGAACAGCAGCGGCTAGAGAAGAAGAAGCGGCAGGAAGAAAGGCACCGCCAAAAGATCTTGGCCAACAAGAGTAACTGTGCAGATAGCAGCAGGAGAGAGATGGACTCAACCAACCACGTCACCTTGGTGAAGGCAATGGCAGCTCTAAACATATGACTGAATGTGTTCGGAGTGCTCTGGTGAGAAGAGCAAATAAAACGGATGAAGACAAAACTCCCCTTAAGCAAATTTCCAAGCACCCGTTGTTATCTTAAAATCTGTTTCTGCAGAGATCTCCAAGCACACATGAATTTCCTGTTTCTTTGGTTGTGGGTTGAACAGTTATTCGGTAATTCTGCATCAACCTGTGTGTGAGAAGAGTTGTTTGAACTTAACAAAAATTAGAGACTTGGTTTTATAATTTTGGAGTTAGATGAAGGTGAGAACCTTTTCTTCACACAGCAGCACTCAATTTACTTTGAGATCTCTTGGTGTGCTTAGACTATTTATTTTTTTTTAATAGCAACTTTTTGCTTGGTTATGCTTGGAGGAGCTTTATTTTACCCTGTTGTCAGGGAAAGCTTAACAGTTCTCAACTCAGGAACATGGGGCTTTTTTTTCTATTTAAATTTAAATAAAGTAAGGGAACAGAATCCCAGAATCCTTTCCAAAGCGAAGTGTGTCAGCTAACACTGTCAAACATGAGATTCTTTTTTTTTCTTTTTCCCCCCATGCAAGAATGCAGTGATAAGTTCTAATCTAACTCGAACTGCTTGTGCTGTTGCACTGGGCTGTTTCAGATGTGATTAATACATGAAGGGAGAATGGGATTGCTGTGTCCATCTTTGCTTTGTGCGTAAGTTTGAGATCAGTTTGTTTGCTAGCTGTTGAGACCTGTAGAGGGGGGGGAAAAAAAAAAGAAAGAAAAAAAAGTAATAGCAGTGGACTCGTGAGACTGCAGAGGCGATTAATCTGATCTGGTGAAGTCTAATGAGGTAGTAAAATGCGACACAAGCAGGCGTGAGATGCCTGTTGAGTGTTGTTACTTGGACATCTGGAATCTCATCTTTGCCATACTCTGGAGCTTTTGGGCAACTCCAGAGCTTTAGTCCAAGCCAGAAACTTGATAGTCTCCAAACGAAATTAGTGTAGCCAAAGGATTAAGAGTCCTGGGAACAAGCTTCCAAGTAGCAGTGATCACTGGGAATGCTGCCTACTTCACTCGTCATAAATCAAGCTTTTTCCAGGATAGGATTTTTTCATCTTAAATTCCTCTTTCGTAAGGTCACCAAGTACCGTAGAACGTACAGCTTGAATCCTGTGATGCTTTCCACTATAGGATTGTGATTTGGACTGAAGTGTAAGGACTGTGGGACTTGGCCCTCAGTTTATGGCTTGCAGTGTTTCAGCTTCACTCAGGTTTTTGGACTTTTATCAAGCACTAAGCTTGAAGAAAGCACATGTGCACTTATGTGCACAATAGATAACAGGAAACACCTCATCAGCCAGGGCAGAGACGAAATAGATTTTTTGAAAGTAAGGAATGTTGCTTTTGAAAAAATTCTGTGTGTTCTTTGAAGATTCCAAATCAGCACAGAAATATAAATGCCTTTTTTGACTGAAGTGCCCAGATCTGAGCTAGTAGTTCTTCATATGCTCTGCCACAGTTTGTCCAGAGCATTTGAAGAATAAAAAGAAGGGAGCTCTGCTTTAAGTACTGGTGGTGTAGGAGAACAGGCATTAATGCTGGTGAAGAAGTTCCTTTGGTTCCTGTAATGAGCTTAGTGGAAACAAAAAGTAATACAAAGCAGCTTTTATGCTTTATGGTGGGACATAGTCTCTGGCAAGTGAAGCAGCCGATTAAGTGCTGCTCTGAGTGCCAGTGGTAGGCGTGAGTAACCGCTGTAGAGGGGAGTCTGAGTAGTGTTTCGTAGGAAGAGCCTGGAGTTCACAGTACTATTCTTAAAGTGAAAAATGACTTTGCTAAAATCCCTTTTATGCCAATCTTAGCCTGTTGTTAGCAGTGTCACTTCCTGAAATTCTTCTTCCCCTAAACATTCACTTTTAGAGTAGTGGAAAGAATGACAAGTCATAGCTTAATAGGGAGAGAGTGCAAGTCACTTCACCGATGTGATGAGTTGAAGACGGCGGGCATAGCAACATGGTTCAGGTAAATGTGTCACCTTTGTCATGCCCAGCTGTATTTTGATTTGAAAGGCATGTGGGTTCTGGAAGTTTGAAAAGATAATAAGAATTTTCAGTTCTATACTACAAATAAGATGTTTGATCTTAATGAATTGCTTTTTTTGTCTTCCTGAGCCAGAGCTGATAAGAGGATTATTGTTCCTTCCAGCCTGGAGAGCTGTGAAGGGAGTTGTCCTGTGGCCAGCAGGCAGGAAGCTGAGCTTCTGTGCGTGTGAAGGGACCTGCAAAACCAAACCTCGTCCTGTCCAGGATAAATGGGCAGGCCTGCAACACCTCTGAAATAGCAGAGAGATAACTTTCAGCTCATGGCCTCTGATACCTGTAACCAAATACGGGGCTGAAAAGGCTTTCATTTCCAAGTGTAATATGATTAAAACAAACTCTTAATGTGCTGGGCTCATAAGTCATGTTAGACCAGTCAAATTCTCTTTATTTTTGCCAGGATAGCTTTGTACCTGCACAAACATTTTGTACCCAAAGATGTTAAAACTTTCATTTTGTCTGTTTCAGATTTTTTCCTGTAGCTGTTGAGGTTTCTACCTACCCTTATGATGTGTATTTTTTTTCTGGAGGATCCTATGCAGTGTTCCTCAGGGAACTCACTTTTATGCAGAGCATTTGCTTTGTAAACAAGTTGTGGATTTTCCTTGGAGGAGGAAGGGAGGCGAGAAACAAGAGAAACACAGTGATTCATAGCTCATGTTTCCTCTTTGGTGGAGCTAACTGTGCTTCATCATATGCGGTCATGGGACAATTAACGCTGCGTGTTCCCTTGGTATTTGAGGAGGATTACTGTTTATTACTAGCATACATCTTTGAGGGTCACAAGTGGGCAGAGGGCCAGGGGCGTGCTTCGACTGCTGCTGGACCGGCAGGGTCCGTGTCAACCTCTTGAAGGTGAGTATGTGGCAGGACAATGTAGAAAGCTGCTTTCCCTGCATCCTGTCTACCACCGTTTTCCCCGTTTATGCTGTCCATAAGCATGTCTGGGCCTTACAATGTATAGGAGGGCTCTTCTGCTTGTGCTACTCAGTTCGTTTTCCCCAGACTTATATTTTCCCAGTCCTGCCCCTGCAGGTGAGGAGTTCAGTCAAACTGGAAGTTTTAAGCATTTAGCCAGGCTTTGCCTGCTGTCCATAAGCATGTCTGGGCCTTACAATGTATAGGAGGGCTCTTCTGCTTGTGCTACTCAGTTCCTAGTGTACCTCGTTCCTTCTTGGAGGGGTGCCTTTTGGTTGGTTTAACAACAGCTTCGCCTCTGCAGTGTCCGAACAGCAGCAGAAGTCCCGTCATCTGTGTTACCTACATCTGCAGTGCTCTCGTAACATGCTTTCCTTTTCTGTTGGAGTCTGTTGAAGCTACATGAGAGTTTACGTCTCCTTTCCCCCTCTGGACACTCGGCAGGGCACCCATTTCTGTTACCAAAACAGACCTCCTCCTATTTTTGGATGCTGAGTGCAATAAAGTTTGCAAAGATGTCCCAGCTGAATTGTGTGAATGGAGTTGTGCGTACGGGGTGCGCTGTGGGTTAAAGACAAAACTTTTGGACTAAATTTAATGAGCCTGCGCAATCTGAACCCTTCGTGGGGATGTGATCCGGTTCGTTCACCTGCCGGCTCTCACGAGCTTTGGAGACGTCGGAAAGGGAGGGAAATTGTGTGTGCAGAGAGACCCATACTCCGGGGTTGTATAAAATGGAGGTGGTTCCTGCTCGTGTTGAGTGTGTGATCGTTCCTTGCTGCTGCCTGGACACAGACCTCAGAGGGCAGCGCTGGCTTCACCAGCTCTGGCCCAGCTCTCTCATCCCAAAGCCCTTGAGTGGCACCAGAAAATGAATAAAAGGAGAAATGAGTGTTTTGGGGTTATGAAGATACCGCATTCACTGTAGGAAGCGTGAGGAAAGGGTCGGGATGTTCCTCGTGATGCAATGCTGAATGGAGTCAGTCAGGAGCCCTCGACCCTGAAGTGAAAGTCAAAGAAAATACCCTTTATTTCAGGACCCCCCTGCTCTGAAGGGGTGCAAACCACATCTCTGGAGATGGCATTAAAACAGGAGGTGCCTCCGTGGAGGCCCAGGTGTGAGGGGCAGCTGGCCGTGGCTCGTTAGGGCTAATTCTAATTACGAGTCCTGTGCAGCTGGGGTGAGGGAGCTGCAGCCTGAGGAGACCTGCCCGGCTTGCTCAGCCCCGTGGGGACCTGCTGGAGACGGGGTGCAAGAAAGAGTCACCCCAAACCCCTGAGACCACCACCACCATGCTCCCACATGGCTTTAGTGAGTATTAATTGCTTACGTAGTCGTTAGGAGCGGGATGGGGCTGTGTTGTGGCCCAGCTCCCTGAGGGGAGTCGGGTTTGGCACCTGGTTTGGGGTCAGGGCACAGCAGCCATTCGCTGTTTCTGTGGATTTCTTTCTTTTTTTCTCTGAAGCTGTTAAGATTTACTGGTTGGCTGCTAAAATGTCACTTCTGGTAAATGTTTTTTAAGAAAAAGATTAAAAACTGTGTGCATGCATGAATATTTACTTCAGAAAATCAGCTGTGAAGCTCTGCGCCGTTTCCTACCCCCTCTGCCATCGATTCCCGAGACACGAACATGACGCTGGACACGGTTTACCAATTGTCTTTGAAAATTTATTTTTATTTACAATTATTCCCTCGTTTTTTTGATGTATTTAATTGTGGGGAGTGTGTTTTCCCTGTGCACTGGCTCCGGGGAAAGGCACCATATGCTTTTTCAGTGCCAAAGGGCTGGGCCGTGCCCTGCCTGGCCCCGGGGAAGGCAAAAACCTCACGGTTTGGACCATTTCTGTCAGGTTTTGAGGCCAGCCTGTCTAGCAGGAGGGAGTTGAGCCTTTGCACAGAAAGTTGGGGTAATAGCTGTAAAACTTGTGGTAGGTCCTGGCTGCCCTTTGGAAGCACTCTGCCGCCTGCCTGTCACACTCGCAGCTCTGTCTTTCGCACCAGTTCCCAGATCCTGAAAGAAAATTTGGGGGGATGGAGTCAGGCAAAGGGTGTGAGGGTCAAGGGATGTCTTTTGGACCGTCCCCACGGCGTACGCAGCCCCCTTCATTGAGTTTGGGGTATCTTGGGTAGTCTTCCTCTTGCCTCTGGTGCGTGGAGCTACCTGGCTGCAACCCATGCGTGGCCCAGGAGAGATTATTTAATTTACTTGATCTACCTATGTATGTATAGATTTTTGTTTTGATCACAGGGAAGTGCTTTGTTTTGATGCACTCGCCGTGAAGCAACAGTGTTTGCTCTGGGGAAATCGGGGTGGCAGTGCCAGGTCCCCATCCAAGATGAGAGGGTCACCTCAGACCCTCAGTATTTGGCCTCTACAGAAGGGCGAGCCCCCTCCTTTGGGAGATCTCCAAGCTCTAAACTTCACCATAGTCCTAGAAAATAAATGTTTGCCCTATTCCTGGCAATTTTCCCTCAGCTCCATCCCCTTCCCAGCAAGTGATTTTCAAGCCAGGATGGTCTAAAGGACATCTCGGAAGAGAGGTCCCGAGAGCACGGACGGTTGTGCCTTCCTGCTCGGGGCTTTGTCCTGGCGCTGTCTCTTACCGCAGATTATCTGCCTTCCCTGGGTGAAGTAATTGTACGTGGCCAGTATGGGATCGCAGTGAGAGGAAGACAACTTCGCGTAGCAGCAGTCGTGGGCATGGCAGCACCTGGGAGTGCAAGAGTGGTGGTCAAGGCAGGACGAGGGGGCAGTGGGGATGATGCTGTGGTGGTGAACATCTGGTGGTGCACATCTGGTGGTGCCCAGCCCCCATGAGAAATGACTTGCGTTTATGCCTGGGTTAGGTGCAGGGTCATGCAGCAGCCTTGTTCTCCCTGGCATTGCCCTTGCGCTCGTGCTGTGCCTGTGCCGTGGGAGCAAGGGAGGGTGACTCGCCTTTCTGGCATCGTCAGCACAGCTCTCTAATTGCGTTCCCATTGCTCTGCTGCAGCAACTTTGCAGAACACCTGATGGCCGCTTTCAATTAGCCCAGGTGGTAGTTGGAGCCCAATGCATTTCTGCCTAACGCTACAAAGGCAGAAGAAATGCTGATGCGCACCGTTCCCATCGGCTACTAAGCAACTTTTAAAGAAGCGTTAAGGAGGAGCAACGATTTTTGCATTGCTATCTCCCCTGTCTCAGGGAAAGGCAGGTGAGGAGGGCTGGGGGCACCTGCTCTGCCTTCACCAGGTCCCGACTTACCAGTCGGTCGCATCCAGCGGCTGTTTGGATCCCCCAAAACCACAGTAGCAGCACATAACTGATGTAGGAGAACGGCGATTTCCCAGTCTTTTGCTTGATCATTAAACCGAACTGAACCACGTTGCAGCTGACAGGGGCCAGCCCTGTGACCATAGATGAGGGGTTAGGAGCGCCAGGAAAAGCAAGCTTCCGTCCCACCCCTCCATAGCAAAAATGAGCATTTTCACCCTCTCCAACTTTATGGATAGAAATGGCGAGCACCGAGCTTTCCCCACTGCCTCGTCCGGCACGGTGAGAGCTGGCATGGGGGGGTACTCACAGCAGAGGAGCAGCAAGAAGAGCTTCATGTTTGGTGGTGGCAGCTCCGGTTGTCCTGTCCCAGTCGCAGGGTGAGGGTGAGGTTGACTTTTAGGTTCTCCGTGCGGTAATCCGGAGTAACAACAATCACTCTAGAGGTTCAATCAAAGTCATACGTTTATGAAAACTTGTCCAGATTACAATGGATAGTGGCTTGGCAAAAGTTACGATTATATTGCAGCAACAAACTCCTAATGATATTACCCTTATGTGCATGGAATGAAATACAGAAACAGAGATGGGGAGAGAGAGAGATGGGAGAGAAAGAAAAGAGAAAAGAGGGGTATCATCACCCTTGGGTCCAGCAATGGTCTGTCTTTCTTTTGATTGTGGTCCTCAGCTGGCGGGCGCGCGTGTGGCTCCTTGAAACTTCTTCTTTTATAGGCTTCAGCTCCGTCCCAGGGGAGGGGATTTGCCTGGCCTGGCACACACGTAATCTTTGCTTCAGAAAGTTTGAGAAATGGGTCTGGGGTACCTGAGGTGCTCCATCGGTTGTCTAGCCCCTTCCCCCTTTTTCTTTCTGTGTGACCAAAGTCTGATCTTTTGTCTGCACAATCGCAGTTCGTGGATGCGTACATGCAAACGACAGACAGCATTTCAGTTTGCAGAGAAGCTGGTCTGCAAGGCAATGCCCTCCGCCCTTTTTTCCTCCTTTGCAGGATGCACCCGGTTCCTCTGTTAGCCACCAGATGGATGTTTGCAACACTCATTCATTAACCAGTCCTCTACACCCGTGTTTGGGTGAGCCCGAGGTGCTGCCGGTCGCACCTTTTATGGCCACCGTGTACCTACTTGGTGGGACCCCTCCGTAGGAGAACCCAAAGTGGGCAAATATTGACAATCCTCACCATATCAGTCCCGCTACGTGTGCGAGCCTCTGTCAGTGTTGCTGGAGGCCTTGGCTGTGGGATTCCCTACCCTCGGGGAGCCCTTTGCAGGGGAGGTTTCAGTGAACTGGGATGAGTGGGACAGACTGGGGTCGAGTCCGTGCACAGCTCTGTGTATCTCAGCATCCCACTGCCTCCCTGAGCAAAATGGGAGAACTTGAGGGAGAACAGAAACCACGTTGTTCCTGGGTGACGATTAGTTTTTTGAGGTCTTGGTTAGAAAACACCATTCTGTATCTTACTGTTTCCACCCTGGCTTACCCGGGCAGGAAGAAAATGCAGCCAGTGCCAAGCACGCTGTGCTTCTGGCTTACCAAAACGGGTGAGATGCAGCGTCGTGAGCGGAGGAAGGTCCAGGGGTTCTCCAGAACAGTCTGTGGCTGAAGACAGGGCTGAGCAAAGACCCTGTAATCTGTTTTTTTTGTTTCTTGTCAGTGCCCAGATGCTCCTTGTATATGGGGACACTCCATCGCTCTCCCCATGTGCACTGGGCGCTGTGCATAGTCTCGCTCTCAAACCAGAGCAGGCAATGCTGACGGACTATTGCATGAAATGTCGGGTTTGCGTTTAGGTAGAAGCAAAATAAGGCAAGCAGCAGGGTAAGGGAAAAAAAAAATCCAAGTGATGTATAATGGAAGGGTAAAAAAAGAGAATGGTTTTGTTGTTTTCTTGGAGAGAATCTCTAATTAAATAGGTGATGCCGAACAATCATTTTAGCAGTTTTCTTCTGGCAGAGATTGCAGGTGTGTAGCGCTCTGCACCGCTTTGCGAGGAACCGCGGCACGGGCAGGCACCGGGCCAGGGGGAGGAAATCCCCCCGTTGCTGATAGGGAAACAGGCGGGGACAAGGATGCGACTTGCATGGAAATCGGAGAGATGGTGAGAAAAGGGAACTTGGGTCAGGGCCTCGGCAAAATCTCTTCCCCCTTCTGGCAAGTGCCGTTTGCCTCGTCAGCTCTCCAGGCCAGTTTAAGTAGACCCCTGGGATGGTGGCGAGTTAATTAGCCAAATCGGGGCTTGCCATAGTTCAAGACTTTCTGAGTCTGTAGCCAGTTTTTATCACTGGAGAATCAGGTATATTTTTGTGCATCAAACTGGCTGAGCTTCCAAGCAAAAAACTCTCTGCCCCAACTCCTCTACCCACGGCAGGTTTGCAATAGCCCTTCTCCAAATGTGAAATAAGGCCCCCTGGGAGGATCTGGATTTTGTTTCTCTTTCATGGTATGCAAAACACAACTTTTGCAGCCCAATTTAACACAATGTACCGAGGGGGTGCAGTATCTGAGCCAACACATCCGCACTTGGAGCTCTGTATGAACGGATTCGTACAGCTGGATATTGAAGCAGAAAAATACATAGATAGTTAAAATTCACCCCGAATTTAAACATGGAGTGTGTTTCAGCTCATCCTGGCCTGCAATCTGTCTGCCTGATCGCCCTTCTCCCATCTCCGCGAGGATTTGGTCCTTGACTTATGCCTTGCAAAGAGCAACTTTTGGGCAAAGGTCTGCCCACTCCTCTCTCATCTCCCCCGGGACTAAACGCTGCTGGATGAGAAGGGTGGTAGAGCTCGATGCCTGGGTTACAGCTGGAGGGAAGCATTGCTTATTTAAGGGATGTTTCCTGGTGCTGTTGACTTCAGCTTTGGGGCAAGCCAGCATGGGAAATACAGCTGCCAATGGCCAGGGCATCAGCCCCCAGGGAAACAGCATTTTGTTGCTGTTTCTGTGACTATATTCCGTGTATTTCATTTCAACGCCCGCACGGGGGTTTGCAGCCCTGATACCTCCCTGGGGTTCAACTCTGCTGAATTGGTCTGCAGGGCAGAAACGTCATGCCGTGGGGATGCTACGGTGGTAAGGAAGGAAGCAGCCATCGCCTGAACTGCCTTTTCCTAGGGGATGTGCTTGGGGTTGTTGCAGAATGGGGCCAAAACATTCTTTTCTGGTGAGAAATATGTTTGGCTCCGCGTTGGGCGTGAGGCAAGCTCCCAGTGACCCCGTTGCGGCAAAGGTTGCCAGCGCCCGACCCTCCCACAGCATCGCGCCTGCCCGCAGCCCTTTGCACCAGCTGTCGTTTCTCTGTCTCGGAGCAATTGCAGATTTTCAGAGCCTGAAGGCTCAGGGCTGAGCAGGGGGACAGTTCGGAGGAGCAGATGCATGTCGGTGGGAGATGCACCATCTCTCAGGTGTCATTTTTTTCTGGGTATTTCAATGGGAAATGCAGCCAAGAGGTTAGCTTCCCCCCACTGCCTGCAAGGGGTGGTCGCTGGGCTCGACTGAGTCACACCACACTGAGGACCGAAGTTTTGCGCTCTCTGGTTTTATTTTGGAGCAACAGAAGAGAATCTGCAGCGAAGCAAAAAGCAGAGGGAGCTGACAGGCTGCGCGGGGAGCTCGAGCCAAGGGGAAATGAGTGTCAGCGGAGAGGCTCGCGCTGGTTTCCATCTTGCCCTTTGCAGCAACGAAGCACAGGTGTCCACCCCTCCCTTGTTTTTCTGTGCTGAAACATTGCATCTGCGCTGCTCCCCCTCCTCGTGTGTCCAGTGTAGAATGACGCAGCTTCACGAGAGGGTTGTTGTCCTCTCGTCGAAGCCAAAAAGCCCCGAGGAGAAGATCTGCCAGGGTTGGGAAACGCTCACGGCGCCGCGCCGTCCCTTTGCTTATCAGGCTGGAGGTGGTTTTGCAAAGAGCCCTTTTGCTTCAACACCGCCCGGCTCGTCCCCGGCACTTGCTGCGACGTCGGAGCAGCCCCCGGCCGCGCATCCGGCAGAGCAAAGCTGCCCGCTCGCATCTGCAGGCACCTCTCTGGCACCAGGTCCCAGAGCCTGCAGGGACCAGAGAGAAAGCATGCCCGAGACCTTCTTTTTGGGAAGATCCCCAGCGTTCTGCTCCCAAAAAGGGCACCACAAAGGAGGGAGAGACGGTCTGGAAAGAGGCATCCTGAATTGTGACTGTGGGGACTTACGGCAGGTGGGGATTCCTGCCCGGGGTGCTGAGCTGGGCTTGATCGGTCCCACGCGGCATCGTCGTGCCGCCAGCTTGGCGTAGCAGCAGGCACGGAGCAGGCAGCACCTGCAAGTGAGAAGGACAGCCTGGCCTCATCCGAAATGTGGCACCGGCTGCTTCTGACCTGCCTGAAACAGGCTCTGCAAGCCGGGTGGGAAAAGCCACCCGCGTTTGCATCCTCCTCCTGCTCTAAATCACCCAGGAGCTGCTCTTTCCAGCCTGTTCCCATGCCAAATCTCTTCTCTGCTTCCCTACGCAACCCCTGCCCAGCTCCGAGAGCCCTTGTGCATCCTGGCTTCGGGATCGTCCCCCTCCTCTGGTGCCATCCCAGTGACCTCAGCCGGTTGTCACTGGCACGACCCTACTGACTACAGGGCTGGAATTAGGGGTGAATGCAGCCTCGCTTTGCCCCCTTCCCTAAAACCTGTTCCCTTCCTGTTGCTGCCCATCGCCTGGTCTGCATTTTGTAAAGCTTTGGAGGATGCTGCTGGGGTTGCTCACAAGCCCTGGGGTTTCCCCAGGGCCAGCGTTAGCCATCCTGGGGCCAGCGTTAGCCCTCTGGGGCAGCGTTGCCTGTACCGGTCCATTGGAGCCTTCAATGTGCCGCTGCTGCCCCATCCTGAGTAGCAACCATGGGCGGTCAGATTTCCTACGGTGCTTCCCTCAAGTCCCGGGGTGAATGTGCGCGGGAGCTTCCCACGAGCTGTGAACACACCTAGAGTGACCAGAAAATGTGATTTTTGCAAGTTATATGCAGAAATAAGGCCCGGGGAACCAGGGGGGAGAGGAGGACTTTGCTGGGAGTCTCCCCGTGGAGTGCACAGGGGTTTGGGGATGCTCCCCGCATCGGCGCGGGGCTGCAGCCTGCCTCCCACCCGTGGGTTGGGGAACGGCTGCACTTACTGCAGGCAAACAGCACGGCCAGCGTCAGCAGGACCTTCATCTTCCTCTCACCTGTGTCTGGGAGGAGAAACAGAGGACAGACTCAGCCAGACAGCGTGGCCAGTCGACAGGCGCTGCCATGCAAACCCTGTCTCTCTGAAATCACCCCAAAATTTGGAGGGAAGAAGACAGCCGTGCCCCCTTGCATCTGTCTTGCTGCCTCTTGGCCGAAAGCAAACACTTTCTGAAGCTGTCCCACCACCTGAGCATCTCCCATCTCCTGTCCCACCACTTTTGGCACCCAGGGCATCGTTTTGCAGCAGCGGTGCAGTTATCCCCCTGGGGCTGCAACTTCCCAGCTGAGTTTTTATCTGAAAACAATGGCGCTTTATCTACAGGCATGGAAAACAGCAGAAGGCAGCGTGCCTGCTGCCTCCTCCCAATGTCCCCCCCATATTTTTGTTTCTGCAGCAGCAGTGCAACCCCCCCATCGCAGCAGTGGGG